GAGGCAAGAGAATCACTTAAGCCCAAGAGTTTGCTGTGAGCTGTGACACCACAGCACTCTACCCAGGGTGACAGCTTGAGACTCTGTCTCAAAAACAAAAAAAAAGTCATTTTATTTTATCTTGTAGATCAAAAAAATTAAAAAAAAAAAAAAAAAAGCAACACACTGGTTACAGAAACACAAACAATGCCATACTGCTTCTCTAAAGGAGGCAATATACAGGGTGGACATAAAGTTTGTGTGTGATTTAAAGTAGTTTAACATTTGGCTGGGCGCCTGTATCTCAGTGGTTAGGGTGCCAGCCACATGCACCTGGGCTGGTGGGTTTGAACCTGGGCCAGGCCTGCTAAAACAACGACGACAACAACAGGCAGCCAGGCATTGTGGTGGGCACCTGCAGTCCCAGCTACTTGGGAGACTGAGGCCAGAGAACGGCTTGAGCCCAAGAGTTTGAGGTTATTGTGAGCTGTGTCACCACAGCACTCTACTGAGGGTAACATAATGAGACTTTATCTCAAAAAAAGAAAAAAAAGTTTAACATTAATATTTTTTACGTAAGAATTTGGGTATGGTTTGGCACCTGTAGCTCAATGAGAAGGGTGCCAGCCACATACACTAAGACTAGTGGGTTTGAGCCAGACCTGAGCCTGCTAAACAACAATGATAACTTCAACCACAAATAGCCGGATAGGCACCTGTAGTCCCAGCTACCTTGGGAGGCTGAGGCAAGAGAATCGCCTAAGCCCAAGAGCTGGAGGTTGCCGTGAGCTATGATACCAACAGCACTCTACCAAGGGCGACAAAATAACTCTATCTCTTAAAATTTAAAAAAAAAAAAAATAGAACAGAACTGGGTAACTAAAAATCACACTTCTAAAATATTCTATATTTTATTTTTATAATCTCTTACTTAGGTTACTAATCCTTAAAATTTCTTGTGAAATATAAGAGGAACAGGTCTTCCTTTCTCACAGTAGCAGTACAAAAACTGTAATTTCTCCAATATATTTCCAAGAAAAAACTCTTATAAAGAAGAGTTCTGGCTCGGCGCCTTAGTTCAAGTGGCTAAGGCACCAGCCACATACACATAAGGTGGCGGGTTCCAATCCAGCCCGGGCGCCCGCCTAACTACATTGATGGCTGCTATCAAAATATTGCCATGTGTTGTGGCGGGCGCCTGTGGTCCCAGCTACTTGGGAGGCGGAGGCAGGAGACTCACTTGAGCCCAGGAGTTGGAGGTTGCTGTGAGCTGTGTTGCCACAGCACTCCACCCAGGGGGACAGCTTGAGGCTTTGTCTCAAAAAAAAAAAAAAAAAAAAAAAAAAGAAGAGTTCTTACATTGATACAAAGAATACTTAGGAGTTAATTGAATACAACCAACTATGAAGACCTTATTAGTGAATATATCCAAATACTATCCACAGTAAAAGCCTCACTGTCTAAATTTTGAATCTTTAAGAAACTGTAAGGTTCAAAATCATACAAGTAGATTTGGAATAGAAGAGTCTGTGTCCTTAGCAAGACATCAATATAAATGACTTCACCCCCATCAGAAATTATTTCTGGCCTTTTCTATTTACCTGCCACACTGCTATTTCTCTGACGTGCCAACTTCACCTCTGGGCACTCCCTTCGTACGTGTCCTGCATCTCCACATATAAAACATCTGAGGTCTCTGGGGTCTCTAAAGTCTCGAGAGTCGTGGAGATCGCGTGGGTCAAGGTCTCGGGAGTCTTTCTCCTCTTCATTCCCTTCCTTCTCTTCTTCACTGTCTTTCTTCTTTAGTCTAAACAGTAAACTGCTGATACCAATAATGTGGGGCTAGGGACTTGTAAACTGAGTAACAGAACAAACTAAACTACATGACAATCTCACATAACAAAGGGATTAACATGCCCATTGTTTCATGCATCTTTCTGAAGGCAAGGAAACTCACATTTATAGCACACCTACTTATTTTACAGAAACTGAGTGTTCCAGTAGTTTGGTAATAAAATATTTTAAATTTTTTTTTTTTAAGAGACAGAGTCTCACTTTATTGCCCATGGTAGAGTGTCATGACGTCATAGCTCACAGCAACCTCCAGCTTTAGGGCTTAGGTGATTCTCTTGCCTCAGCCTCCCAAGTAGCAGGGACTACAGGCACCCGCCACAATACCTGGCTATTTTTGTTGTTGTTGTTGTTGCAGTTTGGCCAGGGCTGGGTTTGAACCTGCCACCCTCAGTATATGGGGCCAGCGCCCTACTCACTGAGCCATAGGCACTGCCCTTAAAATTTTTTTAACATCAAGTTTTAGACCTCTAACAATCTTTACGGGTTTACATTTATTATCTCCATTTTAAAGAAGAAACTGAGGTTTAAGCAAGGTAAATACCTTACTTAAATTTAACAGACAGTAAACAGTACTAATAAAAACTAGGGATTTATTCTGTCTAAAAAGTTCCAAGTTTTCTATTAGGCCAGACTTGATAACAAAAAGATGGAACTTTCCCAACCTATAAATATAGCATATAGAACAGACAAGAGTATGATTCACAGACATATTTTGAGGAAGAATAAAAGATATATAGTTCTCAAGGTATACATTATAACATATACAGGCATAGCTCATAGCATTTATCTCAATGATTCAGTTAATTGTATTTAAATTACTGGTTTGCATGACTGTGAAGTCCTTAGAAGAACTCAGTATCTTAGTCATTTTTTTTTCCTGAGCTCCTAACGCAGTTCCCAACACACAGTAGGTGGCAATAAATGCTTCTTCAATTAAAAAAAAGAATGAATAAATGAAAAAAATATTTTAAGACACTACTATACCACAAACAAATTTCTCATGCTATTACAAAATTCCACTCAAATGAACATTACTGCAAGTTCACTTTAAAGCCCTGAACTTTCTTGCTTAAACATTTCTGAACACAACTATAGCTACAAATTGCCTTCAAATTTATTTTCTCTATATTGCTGGTATACAATCATTTGCCAACCTTTTCCTTTTAGGGCAATCTTTCATGTAGTGGCCTATTTTTCCACATACACGGCAACATCGATCATTGGGAGCCAGTTCTCCATCCGTTAGTACTCTGGAATCAAAGAAGTACTCCTAGAGAGAAAATGAAATTTTACCAGAAAAAATCATTACAAAATTTTTTTTTTGTTTGAGACAGAGTCTCACTATGTCGCCCTTGGTAGAGTGCCATAGTGTCACAGCTCACAGCAACCTCAAACTCCTGGGCTCAAGCGATTCTCTTGCCTCAGCCTCCCAAGTAGCTGGGACTATAGGTGCCTGCCACAACGCCTGCTATTTTTTTTGTTGCAGTTGTCATTGTTGTTTAGCAGGCCCAGGCTGGGCTCGAATCCGCCAGCCTTGCTGTATGTGGCTGGCACCGTAACCACTGTGCTACAGGCACCAAGTCCATTATAAAACTTTTGAATCCAAATATGAAAAGGAGACCAAGATGCAAATGTGGTTTAAAAAAAGAAAAGGAAATAAATATCCACAAATAATTCACACTAACGAAAACCATGATATGATAAGATTGAAAATTATGACAATACTGGTACTAGTAATATTAACCACTTTATAACCACATTATATTACACAGAGATGCTACAGATGAGAAAAATCTCAATAAAATAGCCACTATTTTCATTCTTATTTTATAGATGAGGAAACTGAGGTTCAAAGAATTCAACTTATCTGCCTATAGGAAAAAAGAAGGTTACGTCTCTGATACCTGACTACAAAGCTCATTCCTTCTGCTATACTAGGTCATTTCTGGTAAGGAATTATTCTCTGTTAAAAAGAGTTTTATAAAAAAATTTATAAATATGGGACAGTGCCTATGGCTCAAGGGAGTAGGGTACCAGCCCCATATACCAGAGGTAGTGGGTTCAAACCTGGCTCTGGCCAAAAATTGTAAAAAAACAACTAAACAAAAAAAAATTTTTTGGCTCGGCACCTATAGCTCAACCGGCTAAGGCGCCAGCCACGTACACCTAAGGTAGCAGGTTCGAATCCCCAGCCCAGACCCGCCAAACGACGACGGCTGCAACCAAAAAAAAAAAAAAAAAATAGCCAGGCGTTGTGGCGGGCACCTGTGGTCTTAGCTACTTGGGAGGCAGAGGCAAGAGACTAGCTTGAGCCCAGGAGTTGGAGGTTGCTGTGACCTGTAATGCCACGGCACTCTACCCAGGGGGACAGCTTGAGGCTCTGTCTCAAAAAAAAAAAAAAAAAAAAATTTTTTTAGCTGGGCATTGTGGCGGGTGCCTGTAGTCCCAGCTACTCGGGAGGCTGAGGAAAGAGACTGCCAAAGAGCTGGAGGTTGCTGTGAGCTGTGACAGCACAGCACACTACCAAGGGCAACAAAGTGAGACTGTCTCTTAAAAAAAAAAATTATAAATAAAACAATCCTGCTGATGTGATTGTGTATGACTGTAGTCCCAACTACTTAGACGGCTGAGGTGGGAGGATCACTTGAGGCCTGAAGTATGAGGCAGGCTGTAGGGTACCACAATCATGCCTGTGAATAGCCACTGCACTCCAGACTGGGCAACATAGTGGGACCTCATCTCTAAAATTTAAAAAAATTAATTAAAAAAAATCAAGAAATCCTCTGGTTTATTTCAAATATGATTGAATTTGCATACAGATTTTTAGAACATGAAAGAATCTCTCTCATCCCTTTCCCCGAACTACTAATTTACTTTTTGTCTCTATAGATTTGCCTGTAATGGACATTTAATATAAAGGGAATCATATAATATATAGCCTTCTGGAACTGGCTTCTTTCACTTAGCATAGTATTTTCCAAGTTCATCCAGGTTGATGCATGTATCAGTACTTTATTCCTTTTTATAGCCAAGTAAATATTCCATTTACTTGACATACCACATTTTATTACCCATCAGTTGTTCAACACGAGGGTTGTTTTTGCTTTTTGGCTGTTTCTATTTATGAATAATGGTGATATGAATGTCTCCTTACAAATTTTCGTGTGAATGCATGTTTTCATTTCTCTTGGTATGAACCTACTAGTGGAACTGCTCCATCTTTTTGACATTAAGTTATTAAGGATTATAGAAAACTTGTATTCATAAACTAAAATTAGTACATTTCTATTTACTGAGGGCTCTAACTTAGTGCTCTATTAAAAAAGTCTGATGGCATGCAACATTGCTGGGTTCCTACTGAACATATGCATGCATACACAAAAATAGGTGGAAATTCCCACAAGTGTTAGGTAAAGTCCTTTATCAGTACATCATCATATATTTGCTTTTATCCGACTGTGTTTTTTACTTATTCTTATTTCAATTAACATGTTAGTAAAATTATTGTTAGTTTTTTCCTTTTTAGTTATTTGGTTCTTATACAGTGTTTGTTTCCTTTTGGAGACAAATTCTCAAGCTATTGCCTTGGATAGAGTGCTATGGCATCATTGCTCAGAGCAACCTCCAACTCCTGGGCTCAAGAGATTCTCTTGCCTCAGTTTTTCTATTTTTAGAGGGGAGAGGGGGGAGTGTCTCGCTTTTTTTGCTCAGGCTGGTCTCAAACTTGTGAGCTCAAGCTGGTCCACCTGCCTTGACCTTCCAGAGTGCTAGAATTACAGGCATCACTACCATGCCCGCACCCAGCCCACAGTTTTTGTGTTATTTCAAATTTTACTGCTGTTTTATTTCTCTCCATTATAATTATCATCACCTAGAAAATCAACAGTTATCTAAGAACTAGAGCTCCAAAGAAGAAAGATCTAGATTTCTATTTTTCTTAACCCCCAAGAAAGAAGAGTCCTGAAACTGTACTGAATTAATTAAGTTCAAGGACATTCATTATACAATAGTAAACACATGGTTTTTCTTTCTCTTGAGATTTCTTCTCTTAGAACCTGTCTCTCTCTCTTTTTTTATTTTTAGACAAGAGTTTCTTTTTGTCACCCTTGGTAGAGGGTGCCATAGTGTCACAGCCTATAGCAACCTCAAACTTTTGGGTTTAAGGGATTCTCTTGCCTCAGCCTCCTGAGTAGCTGGGACTACAGGCACCCACCACAATACGTCTCTAAAAACAGCTGGGGTTTTACTCTGGCTCAGGCTAGTCTTGAACTCGTGAGCTCACGCAACCCACCCACCTTGGCCTCCCAGAGTGCTAGGACTACAGCTGTGAGCCACTACGAGTCCAGCCTTTCCTGTAAGTCTCTCTTGCTCTGAAACTGACACCTCCTTATAGTCTCCCTTACCATCAGAAAAGCAAGCAAAAATCAGGGTGACACCAAGAGCGAATGTGTGACAACATGCCATCCCATTCAGACAAAAGGAAACCTCTCAGTTCCATGCCATCTAATTCAGCTAACAAGGCTACACAGAAATTAGAGAATAAGTTTTATTTTAAATAATACAAGTATTTTATTAAATAATAAAGTATTTCTTTGGTTGTTTTTGTTTTTTGTTTTTTTGAGACAGAGCCTCAAGCTG